TTATTAGGCCGGTTCGGCTCATTCGGTCATGAAAAATACTCCGAAAAGTATATGAGTATAAACTGCTTCTTAATACTCCAATAAGGTATATGAGTATAAACTGTTCCCTATTTTTGGTTGAGAAGTTTCTGGAGAATATTTTTCTAAAAATATTCTTAAGGATAACTCAACAACACTACGCCGGACAACGCGTCGCATATATGAACTCAACACCAACGATCGATGATTAGTTCTATGTTGAACCAACAGGCACGAGTTAAAGATCAGAAAATCAGGAATCGACTTCAAGTTCAAAATTCCGACAACGGTCAGACAATAAATGCAGCACCGGAGCCCTTACAGACATTCGACAAAGCACCGAATAGCCTGAAGGATTCGACTGAAGGTTGGGACAATCATATCCAAAGTATTCCAGACTCTTCTATAAAAGAACGAGGCTGAAATACTTTGGAGGGGGTATCTGTAGGCGTATAAAACTGCTTATAGGTCCCTTAACACAGCTCGGCACGGTGATTTGACAAACCAACGAACCATCAGGTGACGTATCTAAATACGATCGTTGGACGGCAACACCGAAGCTAAGTGACACGCGACGAAGCGGATTAACGAGGCGACGAGGTTAACAAATCGTACACAAACAACGGAATACATCTACTCGCGTGCGGAATCAAACTAACAGCTCGGTGAGTCAACGTGTCATCCAACCATAGAACGGATTCGAACTCGAACTCCAAGGCGGATTTACTGCCAAATCGGGATCCGGACTTCCAAATCAGAGTTTAGATCAACGACAAGACGGATTTACTGCCAAATCAGGATCCGAACACCAAATCAGAGTCCAGATCAACAGGAAAACTTGAATAAACCGCGAACCGGACAACGGACGCAACGGCAAACACCCGGCCAAGAACCAAGCCACCCAAGGGTGGCTCGGTGGCCGAGCCACCCAAGGGTGGCTCGGTGGCCGAGCCACCCCAAAAGGGGTGGCTCGGTGGCCGAGAGCCACCGAGCCACGCTCAGATCTAGGCCCAGATCTGGGCCCAAATCCGATCTGTTTTGCCTATAAATAGAGGGGCATGGTTCATTTGTAAGGGATTGGAATTTTTGGAGGCGAAGCTCTGCTGGATTGAAGGCTCAAAACTTAAAAAGATTGAAGCTTTGGAACTTTGAAGACTTGCTCTCTCAGATCCAGTGCTCGGCGATCGTCTACGTCAGATAAGGCAGGAGTTCGAGAGGGATCGGATCTGAGATCTGCGCAGTAACCCTCCGGATCAAAGCTTGGCCTTTGATCCCGAGAAGGCGATTATTTCCTTGGTGAATTAATCCCCCCCCCCCCCCGTTTCCTTCGCGAAATAATACAGTGTAGATCCAACCGGATCTAGATCACGCGGTAGTCCACGGATAAACCCCGGCGCAGGCAAAGAACCCACAAAAGCGAGCGACCGCAAAATAGGAGCTCGTGATTTGTTCGACAAATAAGGAAAGAGTTGTAATTTTCTTTTTTTCTTTTGATCTCGTTGTAACCGGATCTTATAAAAAGACCGGATCTTTGTAATCGATAAACAATTACCAAAGAGTGTACAATGACGTCAATGAAAGCTACTATTTTTCCCGCGAACAGGACTGTTTTGTAATAAGGGCATGTTTGACCCAAATTTTATGTTTCGGATTATATACTATTTTTGATATGGCTCATTTCTGTTCCTAGTTGATTATTATATTCTTGCTAATTATGATCGGGAACCTGTGACTTCGCACTTTATTGTTTGACGCTTATCATATTAGATTGAGTAGAAATGGTCTAGTATTTATTTTTCCTCGGTCTAATACGTCACGGGCTTGTTCGCATCCCGATTCCTGGGTATTTTAGGAAGCGGGATGTGACAGGTTTTTATAGTGGCCTATGCAGGTCACGGTCCCGAGTTCCCACTAGTAAGAATATAATGAACAATTTAGATGCATATCATTATTTCATCCGTAAGACTATAATGCATACTATGTGTAGTATTTTATATGTTTTACCCCCTTACCCCTAGGGGCAATGGAGATGTTTTTGCTAGCGTTCTGATGCTCGTTATTTTCATCATTTTCAAGTAGCAGATTAGAGATTCGGAGAGCAGCAGGTTGATGGAGACTAAATATAGTTTACTATCATTTATAAGTAACTAGATAGTGCTTCATAATAGATGATTTATGGCTTTAATCTTTTAGAGATGTATTTTATTTTGAAGGTTGAGTGCCTATGTACTGTTCAGTTGACACTATGTATAGAGAGTCATTGTTCTCATTTCAGTTTATCAGATGTATTATCTTTTCTTCTATTGGGACATAATTGTAGTTATTATTGGATATCTCTTTTCTACATTGTGTTTCTTATATATTCATTCTTTATATCTTCTTGTACCCTTACTACTTTACTTTTGACTCCTGCTAGAGTGATAGTGATTATGACAGTGAAACATGTTTATGTTCAGTATTAGGTGCATGGCAGGCTAGACATCTTTGAGTTCATCTTGGACAGCAGCCATGTGTGAAACTAGGTTCGTCACGCTGTGAAATAGGTACTTAGAAATTTGAGAGGATCAGCTAATATTGATTTATATTTTTGTAGGAACACAAACTCAGATTACAGAATACTTGGCTATTCTTATTCAGATTATGCGAGCAATTTGGATAAGAGACGATCCCTGACATGTTATATATTCACTCTTTCAGGTAATACCGTTAGTTGGATGGCAACTCTACAGTCGACAGTTGCTTTGTCTACCATAGAGGCAGAGTATATGACAATGACAGAAGTAGTGAAAGAAGCCATTTGATTGAGAGGTTTGATTGAAGGTCTCGGCTTACACCAAGGTATGTCTACGGTATTTTGTGATAGCCAAAGTGTTATACATTTAACAAAGCATCAGATGTATCATGAAAGAACCAAACATATAGATGTTATGTATCATTTTATTAGAGAAATTAAAGTCATCAAGATTGAGAAAATTAATACTCCAGATAATACAACAGATATGATGACAAAGTCCGTACCTTCACATAAACTCGAGCATTGTCTTAAATTGCATGGAGTTCAACAAAGCAGAGGTTAACCCCGTAAGGGGCTTCTAGAGAGACAGTAAGAGCGAAGAGAAGATCTCATATTCAAAGTCAAGGTGGAGATTTGTTGTTATTTAACTTTGTATAAGAAGCCAAAAATAACCTACCTCCCTACACCTAATTCTCTATTACACCAACCGTTAATATGTTTTTTTATTAGAATTGAAAGGTTGTAAATGGAGGAGTGGTGAAGGGTGAATGCATCAGACAGAGAGAAGAGTTAGAGAGAAGAGAGAGGAAGAGAGATAGAAAGAGTTAATCTCTTTCTTTTTATGATTCTTTGGTTAGAGAGTGATATCCTTTGTAATCTACTCTTTTGTGATTAGTGAAGTTATATGTTGTTTTCTCCCGTGAACATAGATCATACTGAGCGAACCACGTTAACTCCCGGTGTAATGTTTACTTTATCTTCACTGTGTTTATTTAGTATTATTATTCTACACTATTGTATAGACATCTTATATGTCTGTAAAGCTCCCCGCTTTAACATTAACTTCTAGATCTGTAATTAGAGAAGAGAATGATTCCCTTGAATCTATTAGAAACAGATATTTTGATATGAAAATTAATATATCTCACAAAGTAGATTTTCTCTTTATTTTTCTGTGACACCCCCACTTTAGTCCCATTTGAACTAGTGTGAAGAAATGTTAGTGTTTTAAATAGAGAAAACCCAATGTCCAAGAACAACTAGTGCTAATATTTTAGCGGTTGATTTAAGCCAACATCGAGTTGTTCTCGATGGGTCCCACAGGTTGCACGCGCCAATGGGCCCGTAGGCTTGGGACGTGACAAATGGTATCAGAACAGTTTCCAGCAGGAAGTGTGGAGCTAAGTGCTGTACGGGGCTAAGTGCTACACCGCATGGATGCGGTGGGAGCCACCTCTAGAGCCTGTAGGAGACACCTCTAGAGTCCACATCTCCTGGCAGTGACAATGGGATGTGCCAATTGTCATGTCGTAACGATGAAGACGTTGTTTTTGTAAGGTGGGGTGATTGTGACACCCCCACTTTAGTCCCACATGAACTAGTGTGAAGAATGTTAGTGGTTTAAATAGAGAAAAACCGAAGGTCCAAGAACAACAAGTGCTAACATTTTGACAGTTGATTTAAACCAATATCGAGTTGCTCTCGGTGGGTCCCAAGGCTTGCACGCGCCAACAGACAGGCCCGGGACGTGACATTTTCTCTCTTCTTTTCCTGGCAAGTATATGTCAAAGTGTAGATGCATTTGATCAATGGCTCATTCTAGAAGAAGCAAAGAATGAAAGATTGTTTTTTATGGATATTTACTGTATGTCAGGAAACGTAAAAAAGAAAAAATAGCATTTGTTATTCTTCTTTTGTCCATAGTCATTTGTAATGTCTGTTCTATGTAATGGCGCTAGAAACTAGAATTTATCTTCTTCTGAGAGGAAAATAGAACAACAAACCTCATCTCCCGGTATTTAATTGATTTCTTACACGTGTTTTTGCGCATCATGCCTAATGGTTTCATTAATATGAAATGTAATGGCAAAAACTTAAATCTTGTAAAATGCAGTTCAACTTTACCTATTTAAAGATTTGGATTATTGATTTCAGGTCCTTATCTCCTGTTGTGCACGCTCAATATTTCAGCTCAACATCTGAATATATTAATCAGCAAAACAGTTGACTAACGCGACACCAGATCATGATTGCAATATAGAGTATGACATCTTAACTGTGCATGTCGACGCTGCAGCAAAGGATCAGCACGGATAACTCTCAATCGGTAAGTGCTCTATGAACCCACTGGCTTCAAGCTAAATGACTGATCTTTTCGCTCCACAGTGTAAGAAGATGGCATTCGTATGCAGAATTTTAAGACAAAGGAAACTTCAATCTGTTATAGAGAAATTACTACCAGATCTTGGATTGCAATATAAATCTAGCTGTAAAGGTTCTTCTTGTTTCCCTATCTATATATAATGCACAATGCGCAAGGCACAAAGAAAGTTAGGCTGTGCACTGAAATTTTAATCATGCGTGCCCTCTTTGCAGTTAACAAACAATGCTTTGGTGATGGAAGACATATAAAGTACATGCTAACAACCTCTGGGATTTGTTTGTCGAAAGCACTACAAGGATCTCATCTGAAGCTCATATCCACGTTGACGACACATGGTGGAAAAGATTCTTGTCGTCTCCACCATTTAATTTCAACTCTTTGACATTCGCTTATATATAGCTGCGAGGAGCAAAGGTATCAACTCAAACACACACATATTGGTTTTTTACTAGCTTTCTTCATCCTTGTCATAGAACACTGGTTGAAATGGCTAGTCATATTCGATCCATCAGCATGCCCTCTACGTCTCACCCAACTATACTCAGAGTGCAAGAAGAACTAGACAATCTTAAAGCTCGTCTCGCCTCCTCCAGAGCAGCAGAAATAGTTCCGGATGGATTTAGAAGTGTGGGAGTCGTGTATGAACAAATTGAAGAGCTACTTCGCTTGCCCAGCAGCCAACAAAGTATACAACTATGTCAAAAGAAATGGATAGAAGAGCAACTTGATTGTTCTCTTCGGTTGTTGGACCTGATTGGTGCTGTGGGGGAAAACTTGGTTTCCATGAGAGAGCATGTCCAAGACCTTCAGTCGGCAATTCGAAGGAAGGGAGACCAAGTTAGTGAGTCAAAAAAGAAGGCCCAAAAGATTATCAACGATTCCCTCAAGTCATTAAAGCTAATCAGTGGCCAAAGTGTACGTTGTTGTGTTGAAGACGGTAGCAATCAATTGGTTAAGGTTTTGATTGAAACAAGGGAGATCACTATCTCTCTTCTTAGATATATGCTCTCTTTAGTGTCAGAGCCAAAAACAAAAACAAGTACGTGGTCTATCGTTTCTAAGGCCATTACACAAAGAAAGGTTGCCTGTGAAGGAGAGTGGGAAGGTGCAACAGCAGAGGAGAACATAAATACGAGGTTACAGGCTTCCTATGATTGCATCGCTTCCAAAGATGTCAGTGCTATAAGGGTAGAGAAGGTGCATATTGGCTTGAAAGTGGTGGAGGTCAGGATGGAAAGTCTCGAGTCCGGATTACAGTTCCTGTTCAGGAAATTAATCCAAAATAGAGTCTCCCTTCTTAATGTCCTTAGCTTGTAGAGTTACTTATCAAAATTTCACCCATCATTGTATTGGCATCCGCATTTTAAAGGATTTGCTAATATATGTGATTTTATCCAATACTGTATACGAGTTGTTCCTGTAATATACTCCATGAATGAAAATATTCTTCCTTGCAAAACCAATTTGGTTTTGGTTGTATGAGATGGGTTATTGCTCAATTTTCCACAGGACATTCAATTGATACTATTCTGATCTGTTAGTTCTTACTGAAACTCATATCCTGTCTCTATCGTAAGTTGATACTTGGGTCATGAGACTCAAATAGCAACAATCACTAGTCATTTTGTAGTCGTCTGAACCAAATAACACGCTGTACTTAGCCGATCTCGGGGCCTATATCATATCAATCGTCCCCAGTGTTGTGCGTAGCGGAAATTTCAGCAGCACCTCCGGTGCGCAAGGTGCACAACAAGAGATTAGATCGTAAGAATTCCTGTTTCACCAAGGAAACAAGAATCTGAAGCGGATATCTCAACAAAGTGAGATATCGGCTCTTCCTCTCATCAGTTCTAGGACTGACCTGTCGAGGGATCCTACAAGCTATTACAAATCACGGCAAGAACACCAAATTTACGTGGTTCGGCAAATCGTCTACGTCCACGGGGCAAGGAGGGGGGAGATCTACTATAAGAGAGGGAGAATACAAATAGGGTTTACAATCACTCAATCTAAACCCTCACACAATCTATCAAATCTCTCGCACAAATATCTCTCAAAAAACCAGCACAAGAGACTGCACAAAACTCTCTTCACGAAGCCCTAAGACTTCTTTTCTTTGCTGCAGCCGCCACACTATTTTTCTTGTACCCTGCCTCTGCTTCTCGCTTTTGTTCCGCAGCCACACAAAAGTTCCGTGCCCTCTCTATTTGCCTCCTTGCACAAAAAAATCAGCCGCTCTTTTGTTTTTTCTTTTCTGCAACCGCACACAAATCACCCGCTCCTTTTCGCTCACATTCACGAAACCCTAGGCAAACCTATTTATTCACTTGAAGAACGGTTCGTGGGCCTGCAAAAAACCCATGCGGAAAACAAATCTGCTGCACCAATGGAGAACATCACGTGGGTAGTCCCCACGTTCACTCGTGTTCACAATTCTCCACCTCGGTGAAGTTTTCCTAAAACTGAGCCAACACCAAAGCAACCAAATATCCCACTTGTTGTGTCCAGTACGAAATGAATCCACAACAAGTCAAAAACCCGAACAAGAGTCCAAACAATCTCACCCCCATCAAAATCAACTAATCCAAACCGGCTGTATCGTAAAGACAGCCTACGTATCCTCTTGCTCAAGGAATCAAGCCGCCCGTAGTCATCCAATGGCCTCGAAAGGCCTCAACACCGAAGAATATTCAAAAGTTACAAACAATGATCAAACTTAACACCTGAAACAACTTTGGTCAACATATCCGCAGGGTTGTCCTTCATGTGGATCTTCTCCAACATGACGTCTCCTTCATCCAAAACGTCAAGAACAAAATAGAATCTGACATCGATGTGCTTCGTGCGCGCATGATAAACCTGGTTCTTCGCCAAATAGATAGCTGACATGCTATCACAATATACCCGAAGGGTCTCCTGTGCAATCCCCAAGTTCTCCAATAATCCCTGCAACCACAAAGCCTCATTCACAGCTTCAGTCAATGCCATATACTCTGCCTCCGTAGTGGAGAGAGCCACTATAGACTGAAGTGTGCATCTCCAACACACCGGTTCTCCTTCTAGTGTAAACACATATCCGCTAGTAGACCGACGCTTGTCCAGATCCCCTACAGAATCAGAATCCACGTAACCAATACAATCCTGCCATGTCTTCTCATTCTTCTGAAATACCAAACCCACATCCACGGTACCTTTGATATACCGTAGAATCCACTTCACGGCCTCCCAATGACCCTTCCCGGGGTCGTGCATGTATCTGGATACCATACTCACGGCCTGTGACAAATCTGGCCTTGTACACACCATCGCATACATCAAGCTTCCCACAGCATTGGCATATGGAACTTTGGATATGTATTCCTGATCCTCAACTTAAACATGTGACATCTTAGCTGATAGCTTGAAGTGGGGAGCCAATAGAGTACTCACCGCATTGGCATTGCCATCATAACTGAATTTCTTCAGTATCTTCTGCAAGTAACTCCTCTGTGTCAACTTCAACCTCCCTTTCACCATGTCTCTCTCAATCTTCATACCCAATATCTTCTTTGCTTCTCCAAGATCCTTTATCTCAAATTCGAATGACAGCTCCTTTTTTAACTTTCTAATAGCTGAAGTATTCCTGGAAGCTATGATCATATCGTCAACTTATAACAGTAAATAGATATACTCACCATTCTGTAGCTTGTGCATGTAAACACACGGGTCATATGGGCTCCTCGTGTACCCTCGGCCAATCATAAAGCCGTCGAATCTCTTGTACCATTGTCGCGGCGATTGCTTTAATCCGTAAAGAGACTTCTTCAACTTGCATACCAATTCTTCCTTTCCTACATCTTGGAACCTCATAGGTTGTGTCATGTAGATCTCCTCTTCTAAATCTCCATGTAGAAAGGCTGTTTTCACATCCATCTGGACCAAATCCAAATCCAGCTGTGCCACCAATGCTAATAAAATACGAATCGACGAATGCTTCACAACAGGTGAAAATACCTCGTTGTAATCAACGCCCTCTAGCTGTGCATATCCCTTGGCAACTAATTTGGCTTTGAATCTAATTTCCCCAATAGAAGATCCCTCTTTCTTTGCATACACTCACTTGCATACAATAGCCTTCTTACCCTTCGGTAGCTTTGCAAGTTCCCATGTGTCTTTCTTATGAAGAGACCGCATCTCATCCTTCATAGCTTCCCTCCACCTATTCGAATCAGAGCTTGACTCTACTTCCTTGAATGTAAAAGGAACCAAATCATCAACGACTTCTGCTGATAAAGCATGTGCAATCATGATATCGTCATATCTAGCTGGCCGACGAATGTTTCTACTTGGTCTATTAGCTGCAATGACTCCTGAACATGACCATCTTCCTGAGTCCTAACATCCTTGTTTTCGTGGAAAGTTGCTATTTTCATTGCTATCGAATCTATTACAACTTTAGTCGTTACAATAAACTCGAATAAAATAAAAAAGTTGATCTTTTTATAAGATCTTCTTACACAATGAAAATAAAAAAAAAGTTTACAACTTTATCAAACAAATGCAAAGATCGTTTATCGGTCTTCTGCTTACGTGAGATCTTTGCCTGTGCCGGGGTTTATCTGTGGACCGCCTTTGATCTGGATCCGGTTGATGAAAAATTCGGCAGAGCTTCGTCTTCGCTGAGGAAGTATTTGATTTGAAGCGCTGAGATCGACCAAGCGAAATCAGTAGCTCTTCTCGAGATCAAGACCAAGCCTGATCTCAAGGAAATGGGGAAACAGGCGTCGGATCTATCGAACTCTCCTTCTTTATGCCGAAGAACTCGCCAAGATCTGTCAACCCTCGCTGAAATTCGTGCTCCTTTGACTCCTCAATCCGGCAGCACCTCCTCCTCTTGATAATTAATCCCCCCGTTGAAAGGAGAACCTAGGCTTATATTTATAGGGCTCCGGATGCGGGTTTGTGGATGAGAATGAGTGATTTAGCCTTATCTTTAGTTAATAACTTATTAACCACATTTGGGAATGATATCTAGGCAGTTATGAACCTCTGGAACAGAAGAAACCGATCGAAACAACCTAAAAAACGCGTTTTGGAGGTTACGGGCAGTTCTGGGCGTGAGACGGACTGATGTAACACGCGTGGGCGCGGGTCGGATGAATCCGACC